AAGTAGCAGTGTGCGTGCTGTTCCTGTCGATTGTTTGTTGATTATGGGAGTTTGCTGTAGGGTTTTTATTGCTTCGTGTATTTGAAGAGTTGTGAAGTCGTTAAATCGGTGGTTTACTTTGGTGTTTTGTACTAGGTCCTGACGTGTGAGTTTTTGGTTGTGGATGTGGGCACAGTGTTCTTGATGGCTCCATTTTGTAGGTGCATTGTTAGGCGTCTTGACAGGGTTGTGGTAGTCATTCTGATGTAGGAGGCGTTTGCCAGGAGCTCGCAGTCTCCTTTATTACACTTGTACTCGTAAATGACGTTCACTTGCTGTAGATCTGTTGTCTTTTTAGCAGGGCTGTATTTCAACTCAACATCTACTACAAGTCTACCACAATGTCGGGAAACCTTATCGCTAACAATGGTTCCAGCTCATCATAAATGAAGTTGGTGAGCCTGAGTGTCGTCCAACAATGTTTAGTCTTAGGAAAACAATACACTGGATTTTAGAAATGTAAGTCCATAGACTTGCCCTGTCCCACTAGGGGAAATTGATCTATTCAGGTTAACTACAAACTCTGCCTTGGAACCCCTAATTTCTAGGAGCAGATGTATTATTTGAGAGTCAGAATATGCTTCAACCTAGCAGAGGTAAAATAAATCACAAAGTTCCAACAAACATGTCAGATAAGGCATAACTATCCCTTCACATAACTAAGAATTAAACCTTCCTGCATGAACCACAATGTCCATGGAAGAAGAGAAAACTAAATGTTCACTCCCAGACCTTTCAACCATCAAGTAAGATGCAGGCTCAAAAGCAACTGGGGAAAGACCCAAAACATCATACTCTCAATGAGCCAACTGAAGGAAACAAATCAAAGGCAGCTTATCCCAAAATGAACTCCCATTTGTTTTTTATTTCATTTAAAGACTGTGTTTATTACTGTTGGGCTATCTGCTGTGTCCACTATAGGGAATCAAACCCCAAATTCCAGTATTGTAAGTCCATAAACTTACCACTTTCCCACCAGGGGACTGAGAAGCCAACAGACTAAAAGGTGCAGGAAAAAGTGAATCTAAAACTTCTAAATAATGTCGAGGATTGCCCTCAATTGTAGCCTCAGAGCCCCCCTAGAGGAACACCACCAAACTGAAATATCAGAGGTCGGATAGCAGAGACCCAATTTGTCTCTGTGCTGGAAATAATCATCCAGGAATTCATATCATAAATTGGCTTGCCAATCAAAAAAACGTTTTTCTCAAAAATCATCTAGGTAACACAAGAACTCTCAAAGTATCTCTGAAAGATCATAGCACTGGTAAACCCATTAGTGACACTTTATCGAGAAAAAGTGATAACATTATCTGAATAAGGTGCTTATATACAGTACAAGGATAGAGGGTTCACTGACATAGGTGGAGAGTGTCATGAAACAAATATTGTCAAGAGCAATTAAGTGGGGTATAAAAGACTGGAGCAAGCAAGAAAAAATCAGACTAATGCTGACATGGGCAAAGGAAGAAACTCTGTCAGTCAAGTAATAGCTGCAGTGTGGGAGGAAGAAAGTAGGTTTTGAAATTATTCATATTATCAGGTTATTATAAGTTGCTTTTTTTTATGTTGTGTATGTGATATATTATTACGTATTTAGGATTAAAGATGTAACTTAACCCAGAATTGTTGTATTTGAATATACCTATCATGTTAAATGTTGGGAAGTTCAAAAATGTCTTTAACAAGAACGAAAACAAGTTGGAAATAGAAATATTAGTCTAATGCGAGAATTATGAGTGAAACTAAAGAATAACATATAAAAATAAGTCAATTGCACTATATATGTTATATACAGTGGTGACAAGGCTTTTTACCCAATACCAGGGCTTATCAAGTGGGCTGGGATACAACAGTCGTTGAGAGACTATAGATATTATCAAACTGCATGAAGAACAATTGTTGTGGTTCAAACTAGATTAAGTTGAAGTATAACTGTTTATCAATTTTATATGAATTGTATATAAATCAGAATTAGGGTATGGATTAATAACACAATATTATTTATTTATGTTAACATTACTTATTTTTAATTAAATCAATTTTACTTATCATTCAGAAGAATTAGCAAACCAACAAGCTAATCATATTGTTTCTAGAGCTCATCATGTTGGCTGGGATATAATTAATGTATTCATCATTTAGCAAATTCCACTCATTGCCTAGCTCTATTTGTAAGATAATACAATATCTGCAAATGGCAGAAAGTAAAGCAAGGTAGTAATGAGGAAAAAGAAAATCAAAATGTACATTCATTGGCATAATATATGAATTACTGCATTTTTTGTGGCTTCTTCTACTGTTTTACTCTCCTCAAATTTGCAAGTTTGCTCAATATTTTGATAAACAGTGCTTGAATATTGCCACAAGGAAACTGGTTTAGTGTATAACTAATCCAAAATTTTAATTAAATTTCCAGACTTCTTATTGATCATATACACTTATTACTGACTTATGCTGAATTAAACCTTA